CCCAGATAACTGAAAAGACATTTATGTGATTTTTATTTTTTCTTAACTATAATCTTCTGAGGATGGATGTTACTTTTGAGAGCATATTCTGTTTGAATAAGGTGCAAAGTCTAAAACTATCATTTTAAGAAATCATGATTGAGGGTTCAATTAATCATTTGTGTTTGAGCTTTTAAACACTTATTTTGTTGAAGAGTGAAAAATACATGATTTATCCTATCATATTATGTTTACTTAAAATGCAAGTTATCAAGCCAAGATGTTTTATTCCAAACATTCAATCAAGAATTTCAAAATTAAACTAAAACTCAAAGTTGTACAACAAATTTCATTTATCACTCAAGCTTTGTGTTCATTACAGTTTTATAGGTCATTCAAAAAATAAATTACAAATGATTGCAAATGGATTACAAGTGAAATACAAAGATAAATCTACAAGGAAAGAATTGCTTCTTCTTCAAGACTTTTTGCTTCATCTTCGAGAAATTCCCCATTGCTAGCCATGGTCTTCTCTTCATCTTGTCTTGCTTGCCATTCATTTGTTTGTACATGTGACAAAGGAAAAAGAGAAAACATTAGCAATTAATCAACATTGAAAAGTCCAAGCAAAAATGATTTTCATCACTAGGGTTTTCTTTTAGAAATCAGAATTTTGTTTGTTTTAATCACCATCCATTTCTCCCTATTTTTGCAAATCTCAAAACTTAGGTTTTGGTTCACAAAAAAGAGGGAAAAGAGAAAAATACAAACAGTTCAAACAACAATAAAAGCAACAGGCTGCAAACAGCAGCAGCCAAATGCACAAGTCAAACAATACAAACAGCCAAACTACATCACAAAAAAGCAGTGCTATGCAAAGCAATTACAGTAGCACAAGATGCAAGGCAGCAGGCTGCAAACAACAACAGTCACATCCAAGGCAGAACCCAGCTTGTTGTAAACCCGAAAGCAAACACAACGAAGGATACAACAGAACAAAACAAACAATATGAAAGCAACAGGACAAAGGGTCAAAAACACCAAATATTGCAAAGAAAACAAATAAGTTTGCTCAACTTATTCACATATCATCACCTCCCTAAATCAAGCAAACCCTTCAGAAAATCAAAAGCAAAAAGTGCTTTATTTCATAAAAAGAGGAAAGAGGAAAGATATCACCTAGCCAGCAAATAACCTAAAGCCATGCCAAGACAAAAAGGCTACTATTGCTACAAAGGCATGATATAAAAAACAGTCCAAGAAGACCTGCTCAAAAAGCCTCCTTATGTTGCCCATAGCAGTCCAAAATTTGTCCAAGCTCTGCACAAAAGCATGTCAAAATAAACCACGGCAAACTAGCCTGCATTACAGTCCAAAAACCTGCCCAAACTTGCACCAAAATAGAAACAATTCAAACTGCACCCAAAAGCCCAAAGCTATAAAAACCAAAACTGTCAAAATTCACAAGTTTTCCCTCATTTTTTCACCCTAACTAGATAACAAGGATCACTGTTTTATAAAATAGAGGAGAGAACCATCAGATATGAGAGATACAGAACTAGCAAATATAAAATCACAAGAACTCAGAATAAAAAAGACAACAATAAACCTTTTGTCTCAAACCAACTGAAACATCATAGAACCAAAGCCATCACTGTAAAAAGTAAAAGCCAACATAGCCAGCTAAACATCACAAAAAACAAGAACAAAAGAGAACCAACAGAACCAGAAAAACATCACAGTATCCATCAAAATAACCATCAGGCCATCACTAAAAACCAGCATATCACAAAAACCATTAAAACCACCATCAAGCCATTTCTAAAAACCAGCAAATAACAAAAACACAGAACCAAAGACATCACTGTAAAACCAGAACATCACAAAAACCAACAAAAAATTTCCATCACCAAGTTACATCACCAAAGTCCACCACCCAAAAATTGTCGTCAAACATCATTATTAAAAAAAAACCATAAGCAAATCAGTAACTCAAACAAACATCAAAAAAGCCAAATATCTTTGTTCATCATTTTCCCCTTTTAAAACCCATTCAGAATATACAAAGCTCAAAGATTTCAAAAAACCATAAGCAAATCAGTAACTCAAACAAATAGCAAAAAAAGCCAAGTATTTTTGTTCATCATTCTTCCCCTTTTCAAAGTCCATTCAGAATACACAAAACCCAGCAAATCAGTAACTCAAACAAGCAGCAAAAAACCCTAATCTGATAACAAGGATTTCACGAGTTCAGAAGAAGAAAGAAAGCAACTTACAAAGATTCAGAATAGTCTTATCGGAAGAGCTTTAGGAGGTTAGTAAGGTTACATATCCGGACCTCACCAACGATCTCCTTCTTCTCTTTCCTATACTCTCATTGAATATATCGTTGCATGCATCGTTACCTTCGTCGATCTCACCAAACGGAGAATTAGGGTTTCGTTTTCCCCCTTTCTAGATTTAGGGTTATCAAATGAAAATCTGCAAAAATTGATCACAAATTAGTAACTAGGGAAATGAAATGATCAGAAAGATGTAAGAAAAATAGGGTTTGGAAACACGCCACCGCCGTAAGGCGATTTCCGGCGCGGCCAAAGGGTCTTCTTCGGTGAAGGCTCATGATAAGAGAGAAGAGAGAGGGAAAAGCGTTTAGAGACAGAAAAATAATGAATTATGAGGCCTGGCTTCAGCGTAGTTAAGTTTTGTGTTGTTTGATAACAACACTTTGACCCAATCCGGTGGTGACACTTGTCACCACCTCTTTAGTTACCGTGGATGATCCCCCACTTGCATCCCCATGTTAATCTGATACGCCCTCATCATCTATCCATCTGATCATTTATCACAGCCCTTTCAACACATCTTAGATGCACGCCCATGGTACACCTCCAGGGGGTCGCTACACTGGATTAGCCAGAAACATTTGGGCTTTTTTTAATTTCTACACCCCCTTGTTTTACTCTATTTGCAGGCCCATTTCTAGTTTTCCCCTTTATATTTTTTTTGTTAATATTTCCTTTTCATTATTTGATTTTTTTATTTTTTCAGCATACATTTAAAAATTGTAAATATGTTAATATTTGTTTTAAATAATTATTAATTTTAAAATAATTTTTGTTTGACATTATTAAGTAATTCCTTAATTAATTTTATCAAATGAAAAGAGTTTTAACCTAAATAATTATTTAACGGTTTGGACTTGTATTGTGTGATTTAAATCTTTATTTCTTATTGTCACCCCCAGTCCTTAATTTGTACCCCTATTCCCGAAGCTCTGAAATAGCGTAGAATTTCAATTTCCACATTTTTATTGTTTTACTCATTACTGTATAGTAATTAGGCGTGTATGGAAAGATCAAAAAATCATTCGCTAGATAACCTAATTTCAAAGATCAAATTAACTTGAATCAAATACACTTTTTTCACACGCGCACCTCTAGGGTAACCTCGTTCGTTGCCTCGGAAATACAGTCATGTCCCTCGAGTAATAGGACGTTTTAGCAATGATCCTTTGATAAAAAAAGATCGTAGTCCCTCAATGACCCTCGACGTTTCCTTCGATAAAACGATCTCGTCCCTTACAAAAATTGCTAAAGCGTCACATAAGTTGCTTTCAATGATTGTAAAATTGACCCGCGCCTGTCCCTTTACATCCAACGATGGGGCTTCTTACCAAATCAATGGTAAGATAGCAACATTAAAAGGAGGAAGAAAAGAACCTTGAGACCTTTCGAATAGGTAGATTCGCTCCTAGTTGCTCTCTTGCTCACGACAAAAAACATTTTTACACCAACACCTTCATCTCAAAACATTTTCAAAAAGACAAAACCCTTTTGTATACATTCTTATATAGACGAGAACCATTGCAAAACATCTTTTCAAAAACCACTTTCCAAAACACAATCCACAAACACATCTTTGAACCATCTTTTGAAACAAAACTTTGTACGCGTTCTTATAGAAACAAGAACCATTACAAAGAGATTTTTTCAAAACACTTTCAAAGCCCACATCACAAGTACACTGTCAAAACAAAAGCAAGTGATCTAAGCGAGTAACTAAGAGCCCATGGAAAACCATGGATGAAAAGGGTGCTACTACCTTCCCTTCTCATAATCTACCCCCCGAACCCGAGAAATAATCTCGAAAGGTCTTTCCTGTGCTTTCTTACCTTTCCTTTTGGATAAAAGAAAATTCGGTGGTGACTCTTGCTATCCGCACAAATGCGATCAAAACTCAAAACACCAAGTCAGTTCTCCCACCGTATCACAAATAGGTACCATATAACTAAACCACATGAGCACATACAATAACCAAGGAACACCAAAAAAGTTGTAGCAGCAACAATAAGTTGAGGTGAAAAAACTCCAACATTTCTCCATCAAAAACTAGATAAGATCCATCAACTAGGACCTAGATGTTGGACATAATGTCTGAGACATCTTACCCAACAAGAAACCTATAATTGTAACTTAATAACCCATGAGTAAAACTATCATTCTTATTCTCAATCTCCTTCATCAACCTAGGAGAACAAGCTCCAGCATTCATCATTATCTTCAACAACTAAGCATCACTATGAAGCTCCATAAAATCATTATACTTTAGTGCTTCAACAAAAAGTTCTTATGCATCCCCATTTGCAGTTTCTTATTATTTCTTAGCTTCCTTTTCCTTGGTCATAATCTTGTCAATAGATGGAACCTTTCTTCTGCCACATTAATTAATAATTGAAGGTGAAAGCTTCATACACTTTCCTCTATCATACACCTTTCTAAACTCCATGTTGCTTTCAACATTACACTCAGTAGTAATGTTAACAATTGACTCCTTGACCAACTTTTCATAGCAAGGACCAATATTAGTAACAGTATTTATTAGCCCAACAACTTCCATGATTTCTTTGCAAAAAGAGATTATTTACCTAGATCTCTCTTAACGGTAATCCTTCTTTTAGTAACATATTTCCACTTCTGAACACTTGTTTCAGAATGGAATGACACATTATCCATGAGAGAATATTAGACATACACGTAAATTCTCTTCCCACCAACCTTTATCCTTACAGTGTGCATAATGTCCAAGACATCTTCTTCATTACTTGTCTCTGAGTTTGTTTGAACAAGCTTTCTATTTACTTTAGAATTAAAAAGGGAAACTTGATCATCCTTCCTTTGAATGGGAAACTCAATCAGTAACATGCCATACATGTTGTCGAGCACATTCGAGTTGACATCTTCATTACCATCTTTGGTGAAATCTTTGAGCATTTGGTTACACCACAACATTTGAGAGCTACTACTTCCAGCATATATACCCTGGGAATCAAAAGTTTAGTCCTTCATTTGCTTCACTTAAAACTCATTAAAGTAGGTAATATCACATACCATGCTAAAATCAAATTCAAAATGCATTTGTTGAACAAAATGCTCTAACATCTTAACTGACATCCTGCACAACCCAATGTCTTCAACATAAATGTGAACAATCATATGATTCTCATTGTCTTCCATATTGAAACCCTCCATGTTGTTGATATCAGTAGTAGCATCCATACTGACTTCTACAAAATCACAATTCTTAATGACACCACCCTTGTTAGTGACATAATTATTAACATCCATATTGTCTTTCATATTCAAGTACCTGTTGAGGAGGGAACTCTTCACATCAATCTGGTAAAGTTTTAACTTCAAAATACATGATTTCCTTGGTATCAATTGATGACTCCAAGATGGACAATAGCAGAAAAAAATTTAGCATCATAAAATTTTTCATCTTCCTCAATAAACACCATGATGTTTCCAGTTTTATCAACAACTTGCTCTACATCAAGACCAATGAGATCAAAATATTCATATTCATGGGGATCTATTTCAGTTTGAGCATCATCTATATATTGTTACTCCTTGGTAAATAATCTATATACCTTGCTATTAATATCACACCCCATGGATATGTTTTCATCATTAATTACCACATCTTTTACTGCATGATCCTTCTTTCCTTTGGATGCAGGTTTTATTTTCTCATCATGGTTATTAACAACACCACCATGGGCTACAACAATATCAACCTCAATATTTTCCTGGACATGATCATCATCACTCATAGTATTATTCTCAGAGGTCACATCATCATTCTCCTTATAAATTTGAGACTCTGTCAGCATGTCGGACAAGATGCCTGGCACATCTTTATCAGCATCTTGATTTTCCATATTGGTTTCCTGAGTCTCATTAGAAAAATGCTTTTAAATTAGATGATCGTTTCTTATAGGCCCCATACATGAGTGGAGCATTAAGCTCATTTCCACCAGCAGCTAGAACAGACTTGTCAAAGTGAGCAATGTGTAACACCCCAATTTTTAATTTTAATAATATTAATATTATTTTGATATTTTTATTATTAATTTTAAATATTAATTTAGGTTGTTGTGTGTTTTATTTAATTAAATATGAATTATTTAATTATTGAGTAGTTGAGTGTTACAGGAAATTTTTTAATTTGGATTAATTAAAATAAATAGAGAAAAATAGTTTATCGAGGGTGTTAAGAGAATAGAAGGTGTTGAGGATAATTATCGATATTTTGGTAATTTAAATAATAATAAAAAATAGAGGTATTTTAGAGTGGAGAAGAAAAAAAGGATTATTTAGAAATAATTAGATATTTTAATTATTTAGAGATAATTAGAGAAATTGGTTGAATAAAATATAAAATGATTATTTATAGTTTTAATTATAATTTAGATTTGTATTTAAATGATTATTAGTGAAATATTTATTTAATAAAAAAAAGTGTTATTTTAATTAAAATCAAACTTTTAGAGAGGGTGTGAGTGAAAGGGGCGTAGCAACAAATTGAGACTTTTAGGGTTATATTTATACTAACATGAGGGGGCTTGAGGGTTTATGTGAAAAATTAAAATTTTGGGAAAAGAGGCAGATGAGTTGGGAAAAGAGCAGTGCTGGAGCTATCGGGTGTAATACCTCAAATTTTTCCTACCTCTTTATAAGGATAATCTGGCTTACGCATCTCTCATTCTTCATGTACATACTTCATTAGGTCATCTAGCATTACATTCATTCATTAATCGATAATTTGGCATGGGATCGATGATATTGTGGAATTATGAATTCTATGGCTTTGTTGGTTCACACCTTTACTCAGGCTTGAATCAATTGGTTTCCCAATAATTGTGGTTTGTGGAACTAGGGTTTAGATTCTTGATTATTGGGAACTTCTCCCCCATCAAGCTACAAGGTTGTCACAGTCAACTAAGGATCTTATTAAGTTGATGTGTTGGTTCTAGTTGATATCTCAAGAGGTTCCTTCATTCAAAAGGCACCCAAGTAGAGAGGATTATGGTTTCTTATTCATGGAGTTTTGAGCTGGCAATGCTCATCAACTGAGTTTCGTTGGATGTTCATGTCAAAGCTATCCTGGTCATATATACTTCTATATTCATTTCTCGATGGTTCTTTAAGGCATTGATGTGGTATTGGTTGTCAAGTCAAGGGTTTGTGAATGGAATGATAATTTGGAATTGGAAGTTAAGGTCTCGAGGTGATTTGAACTTTTCATGGAAATTTGGAATGGAGGAATTGTAAAGATGATCAAAGTTTTAAAGTACGGGTAATTCATTCCTGGTTTATCTTGAAATCAAAGAACGAGTCACAAGCTTCAATCCAAATTTTTAAGACATGATCATTCAAGAACATTCAAGGTTCATTTAAATTTCCATAAAGTATTAAAAGAGATTCGATAGTAATCAAGACTCAACGTGATTTTGTCTTTCTTATTCCACAAGCTCTTAATTCTAGCACTGTAACTATCATCAATCAACCAAGCGCTTAAAAATCTATAGTTTCTCTTTACTTTAGGGACCTTTCTTTCTGTTAAGAGATATCATGGTGGGGTAATGATCATAGAAATCCACCCTCGTCAACACCTTCGCATAAGCGTCATGTGGGCTTGCATACATAGCAATAAGAAGCCAATTATCACATTGCTGATCGCTAATATTAAGATGAATATATTGTCCATCTTTTTCAATCAGTTGTACAACATAACAGTCCTCCTTCCAGAAAACAATAATACCCCCCGAATATAAAATACTCTTCATCACAGTGTATTTATAAAATCCCATCTTTTCAAAGAATATCACCTATTCTAGCACAACATCACCACCTCAAAGTTTCCAAAAGTCATGGCCATTTACACCATAAATCGTTACATCATTTCAAGTATTTTCCAAAGTTACATTCTTGTCATATTTTAATACATCAAAAAAATTTACAAGAAAGCATTAAAACCTAAGTGCCTAAGTCTTCCATCTTCATGACCAAGCCTTCTCCCACGTTTCACGTCGTGAGTCAAGTCTTCATTTAATCGTACGATATGCTTCTTCTCCAAGTTAATTCTTTAGGCCCTTGTCATTCCTCAAATCTTCATAGCCTGCATTATTAGGGAAACAAATCTCGATTAGCCAAAACTGTAACAGCCCTGCATTCCAATTAATAGCTAAAGCCACATGCCAGTTTTTTTTCTAACAGTTTTTCCAATTAATTCCAAACCTCATAATTACCGTAACAGAAACCAACAACTAACCAATTTTTACCCTTTTCCTAACTCTAACCAGCCTATAACCCATCTCTAACTAACTTCCAAAACTGCCTAACAAACTTTTTTTACCAACTGTAACAACAACTGTCCAAGGGGGTTTATTAACTAAAACTAGCATAATGCAATAACAACCTCCAACCCTCCAACCATTTTTCCAAATTCCAGCCCATAACAGAACTTTTAACTCCTTAATTGTCATAAAAGAAAAACCGAAACAAAATTTTTTCTAATCGTAACTTCCAATATTCTAACAGAATTCCAGAACCCTCTAACATAATCCAGCCACTTGAACAGAATTCTCTATAACAAATTCTCTAACCAATCCCTAACTGCATCCAACTGTCATAACTAAACTAACTAATTTTCATAAAAAATCCTAACTGTTTTTTACTTTCTTCCCTCGACCTCCAACTCAGCTCCTACCTGTTAACAACCAAAACCAACCTCCTAATAGAATTCTGACTTAAAAAAAAGCAGCAAAACAGAAAAACCAACTAATTCAACAAAACTTCTAACAAACTTCCAGCAAAGCTACAATAGAAAGACAACAGAGTCAGTTATAGGAGGATTCATTCACGATTTTTTTAACAGGGAATTAACTCATAACCAACTAACTTCTAACTGATCCAACCAAAGAGAGGGAGAGATTTCTGAGTTTTTATCAGAAAGGTCAGAGAAAATATCTCAAGAAAACTCAGAAAAGTTAGAGAAAAACTCACCATAAGATTGGCTCTCTCTTTCTCTGAATCAGGAGGTGATTCATCATCACCATTATCAATCTTCATTGATCCTCTTCAACCTTCTTTTCAACCATTCCTCCCCAACCTTCACCTTCAATTCCTGCACTCTCTCATCTTTGAGTCGTGTTGAACCTTCTCCAATTTTCATCAAATCCTCCACTCTCTGATTCACACCTTCATCTACATCATTAACAACTGCCATCAAACCTGCAAAAAACAGTCATACCCAAAAAACAGTTCATCAAAAGAAAACTAGTTCATTACTATCAAAACAGATTTCCAACCAACTTCCAAAAAAAAACCGTCTAATTGTTTTCCTAATTGAACTAACAGTTCTAACCATTTTCTAACCAAAAACTGAAACTACTGTAACCGAATCCTAGCTTAGCTAACTAACTTTTTTCTAACCTCGTAACAGAATCAAAACTCTAACGGCTCAACCTCTAACTTTGACCTCAACTGTTTCTAACAGAATCTCCATGGGGTATAATAGTTTTCTAACAGAATTGAGGGGGATGGCATAAGAGAAAGGAGAAACGGATCTAGAAGGAAGAAGATTCACTCACAACAGAAATTATAAGACTCACCTTTCAACTATACCCGCGCTCTTTTGATCTTGAACTTTCACTCTCTTTGATCTTGAACCTTCACTCTTTTGATCTTGAACCTTCACTCTCTTTGATCTTGAACCTTCACTCTCTATGATCTTCAACCTTAAAAGACTGAAAATCTCTCTTCTTCATCCGTCACCTTTATCAACCTTCCCTCTCTACAACCATCATTTCCTCCATCTTCCTCTCCCATTGCAACTTCCATCAACACAGGACAAACAACAACAATTTTGCATCCCCGAACTTCAGATTCTTTTGCAAAAAACCTATTAATACCTGCAAATGCAACATCACGACAACGAGCTTTATGTCTCTACCTATCCCTTCAATATCACAGCACATACGCAGCAAGAACACTGAGTTTATTTCTCAGTCGCTTTCATTTGGAATTTCACAAGAAATTCGTAACAACAACATCTCAACATCCTGAAATCAAAAAAAGAGGAAAGAATGAGTAGAAGAAGAGGAAGAAGAAGATTGGATCGTGAGTCGAAAATTCGTACCTTAATCGTTGGAACCTCCCCTCTAGTTTTCTATTTGCACAGCATCCAAGCGGTTCACAGGTAAATTGTCTACGATTCCATCGCTTCCTCCTCTTTTTCATTTTTGTTCTGATACGTTATAGATCGGAGAAGACGAGGGCGGAGGTATGAGATTGCGATGAAGGCGACGGAGATAGAAACCACCTCTAGGAAACTGAGATGAGAAGAAGGTAGAGACGGATAAGAAGAGGGCGCGACTGTAATAGATCTAGGGAGTTGGCAAGCTCCGTCGCTTCCGGCATGGCGGAGCGACCTCCGTGGGTTTAGAGGAAACATAGAAAGGCGACGGCTGAGGAAGAGAAGACTCTCTGTGTATCGTGTGAACTGAACCGTCACAATTCTGAACCCTAGTTCCCTTTCTCAATTTTTATTTATTATTTATTTTTATTATTATTGATTCCATAAGATAATTGGAACAGTAAAAAAGGTTGATGGTGTTAACAGACCATGTTATGGCCATAGGCCCAAATACATATTTTTTTTTTTTAATTTTCACTTGAAAGCTTGGTACACAAAAAAGGACATGATGGACCCAATTTGAATGGGCTTAGCACCCTCGCTACTATCAGACCCCTATCCTGACATTATACTCCCAGTTTCCTTTTTTCCATTTTGTTTAAATACTCTTTTATAATTCTTGTCAATAAAATACATGATAAAATGTAATAAAACTGAATATAATAGAAACGATGAAAAAAT